CTGTTCTCATCGACACGGGCAGTACTACTAACTTCATAAATAGTAAGCTTGCTGTTCGGATAGCATTACCTATCGAGAATCACTACAGGTTTGATGTTAAGGTCACCGACGGACGGATTTTGAATTGTGATCGTAGGCGCCCGCAGGAGAAACTATTGCTGTAGGACCAAGAGATAATTGCAGATTTCTTCCTTCTCCCTCTTAACAATCATGAGGCCATGCTCAGAATTAAATGGTTGACGACATTAGGTGATATTTCCTAGAATTTTATGAAACTAATTATGAAATTTTACAGTAAGGAGAAACATGTGACATTGCACGGGAAACGTAGGGGCGACATAACAATGATTTGCACATAACAAATGGAGAAGGTTTTGCAAAAAGCATGCAGCGGCTTTTTGGTACAACTTGAGCAGCAAACTAAGGGAGAGCCAACAGAATTTGAAGATCCAAGTCTACTTCCTTTGCTTGCTGAATTTTCAAATATATTTGACGAACCGCGCAACCTACCTCTTACCCGTCGGCATGATCATTGTATAATGATCCTTCCCGGCAAATCTTCAGCAAATGCTCAACCATATCAGTATCCACATTTCTAGAAGGATGAAATAGAAAGGATTGTAAAAGAGATGCTCGTAACAGGAGTTATCCGGCCAAGTTGCAACCTCTACTCTTCACTGGTGCTACTTGTACGCAAGAAGGATGGAACAAGGCGAATATGTGTTGATTACCGAGCTCTCAATGGTATAACCATCAAGGACAAATACCTTATTCCAATAGTAGATGAAAGGGAGCACAAATCTTTACAAAACTGGACCTTTGATCCGGGTATCATCAAATACGAGCGTGTGAAGAAGACATACCGAAAACCACCTTTTGAACACACAACAACCACTACGAATTTTTGCTTTCTTCAACAGAAGGTGGAATATTTTGGGCATATCATATCAGAGGAAGGTGTGGCAGTGGACCCCTTCAAAATTGGAGCAATGCAAAACTGGCCGACCCCGAGAAACATAAAATTGCTACATAGCTTTCTGGGTTTAACAGGCTACTACCCCAAGTTCATGAAAAACTATGGAAAGATCAATACACCACTTACTTCCTTACTGGAAAAAGATGTCTTCCAATGGTTGGACAGAGCCTCCGCTTCCTTCGACAAACTTAAGGCAGCCATGACGACGACGCCGGTGCTAGCGTTACTAGATTTCAACCGACCCTTCATCATTGAGGCCGATGCATCTGGAGACAGAATGGGAGACGTTCTCATGCAAGATGGTCAACCACTCATATATATTAGCAAGGCATTGTCTCCCCCCTATCAAAACATATTAACATATGATAAGGAGATACTCGCCATTGTGCACGCAGCAACGAGATGGAGATCGTACTTGATCAGGCGATGCTTTCAAATCAAGACCGACCATAAAAGCCTAAAATATCTCTTGGAGCAGAAGATATCTTTCCCCGAGCAACAAAAATGGGTAACAAAGGTTCTTGGATATGATTATGAAATAACTTACAAAAATGGGAAAGAGAATGTTGTTGCAGATGTGCTTTTACAGTTACCTAAGCAAGTTGAAATTTTGGTCATTTCACTTTCGACTAGTGACTTCCTTGAGGATATTAAGATGGAATGGTAAGAAGATTCAGAGACCAGTAAGATCATAAAAAATTAGAGGAAGTACCAAGCTCCGTGGCTCATTATAATTGGGACTCAAAAGAATTACACTATAAAGGACACATTGTGCTTGTGACAAATTCTACTTGCATCTTCACGAGCAGATTTTGGACAAAGTTATTCCATATGTAGGGTACTAAATTGAAAAGGAGTACATATCACCCACAAACTGATGGCCAGATAGAAGTTGTAAATAGGTGCTTGGAGATAGCCCAAAGCCACCCACTAAGTATGACTACCCAAGGAGAACTCCAGACCCAGCTAAGTGCCATTATTGATCGACGGATCGTGACTCAACGATGACAACTCACTACTGAAGTGCTAATACAGTGGGCGAACCTACCAACAGAAGATGTCACTTGGGAGAACTATGATGACTTGAAGATCAAATTCTCAGAATTCATGAATCGTCAGCCTTGAGGACAAGGTTGATTTGAAGAGAGCAGATCTGTTAGGAAGAGGGCGGGTATGTTAGGACTCTAGCTAGGAGAGTCCTAATTGAGAGGGACATTCATGTAAAACCTACCTAAGCCGACCCCTATTAAAGAGGTGAAGAGGCCGGCTAGGGTTAGGAGGTTGTTTCTTAGAGAAGAATTAGGAGTTGTAAAGGAATAGGAGTCTTGAGTAGGAGTCCTATTAGGAGTTGGTTAGAAGTATGAGTCTTGAGTAGGAGTCCTATTAGGAGTTAGGGTTTAGAAGCCCTATAAATATCCATGTATTTCTTCTCTTTTGATAAGCAATAGATGAATCTTTTCTGCAGCCTTTGAGCAGCAACTTGGAGGGAGGAACCCCTATAGAGTTCCAAGGAGGTCGATCCCCTAAAGAAATCAACCCCAAGTTTAGAATCTGCAAAGGTTCTAACACGATCGTACCGCCCAGTGTCAGGTGTCGGGCAGTGGTACCGGTAATACACCAAAAATCGGGGAAGTGACACTTTTTGGCTCCAATTCAGAAGTCATTTAGGCCTATAAATACCCCACTCTTTTCTACATGAAAGGGCACGAAAGTATTGGTATAATCTTGAATCTTTGAAGTGTTAAAGAGTTGTAAAAGTGCTAGATCCTCCTCCTCCCTTTCTAAGTGTTGAGATTATTCAAGAGAGGTGTGAGACTTGTGAGGGTTATCTCCTAAACATGTGAAAAGGAGAAAGTACTGTAAAAGGTTGTTGGTTTTCACCTATTAAAGGAAGGTCATTAGTGGATGCCGATGACCTCGACGGAGGAGGAATCCAAAAGTGGATGTAGGTCACAACGACTGAACCACTCTAAATTCTAGTTTGCATTTCGTCTTGAGTAATTTACCTTTCTTTCAAGCTACTTTACCTTTTTACTGGTTTCTCTATGCTCCCATATGCTTTTAAGTTAAAATCTTTACGAAACGATTTTGTCAAAATCGAGTTTAATCGAAACGAAGACTTTTGAAACGGGTAATTTTTCCGTTGCACTAATTCACCCACCCTCTTAGTGTCGCTCTTGATCCTAACACCACCGTCCAGACTAGCGATACCACCATCTGACACAGTCTCGGAGACTGTACCACCGATGGTTTTACCTATTGGGTTACTGTTTAGGCCTTTCACTTGGCCCAACACAGCCCAAACTTAGGCCCAATTGGCCCTTAATTGAGTTGGCCTAATTCCAACCTAATTACGCTTAAAAACTACTTCGATCTAGATAATTATTACAAAGTTAAATCAAATATTATCCGGTATGTCATTGGTTCATCGACGCCTCATCCGATTCTTTGGTGCATCGTACTCTCTTATGACCTATTGCCCAATCAGCTAGCTGACCTCTACAACTTCGATTTCTTTGGCGTAATTTTTGCTCTTCTTGGCCCGATGCATGATCCCATGGCCCGAGGCCTTCTGTCGATACGTCGACCGATCCTCCAACTCGACGTCCAATCTTCTGACATGTTTCACTCCGGCTCAACATGATTCTTTCTACTTTAATTGTCTCTCCCTAATCGAAGCTTCCTACGCCACTCAAAATGCATATCAGATCATAAACATATCAATTGATTTCATCATCAATATTCAAGATTCAACGGTCTTTGTGTTTGTCTATGATGCTCTTGAGATGAGACTTCACTTTCCCTCCACCCAGTAATGGTGTTCTACCTAGAGTGATGGAGCATATCGTCCTAGCATCTAACTCATGATACTATCTAATAACGTTTATAAAAAAAATTGCAGGCACGTAGATATCACTGCAACCCACAAGGGTTCAACCTCACTTGGTCAACACCCTGCATAGTGTCATGAGTTACAACTGCATTTTGTCTTTTGGTGAAAATTGTTTTTTATGAACATTTTGAATAAGTTGACATTTTTTACCTTCCATTCAACTCTTGAAAACTAGGTTTTTTTTTTGTTCCTTTTTTATTTGTCTTGTTAAAAGTATTTATAAACATTAAACGTTTATGTTATGATCAGAAATGAAAAGTTGAGATCATTCCCCAAGAATAGTTGAAGAGAATGAAAAGTTGAGAACTCTGTTGGATGCTAAGAACAGTACTTCTAGACTTTGGTAGTTATTGTGTTTCTAAGATTTTTTATAGCCAGTTGAATATGCTGATTAATTGGTTAATAAATATGAAAAAGATGTAGTTTCTGTCCTCTGTTGTTGCCTACAATGTGTCATTTATTAGATGGCTTCTAACCAAAGTTTTCAATCCAACCAAGGGTCAATTTTTATTTATTTACTATTTTTACTGTTGATACAGAGCTTTACAGGTTGGTAGAGCACCCTACCAGTGCCTTATCTTTCTGACCAGTTGCCAAAACCAGTATTGGATTTTTAATCTTAAATCCTTGCTTCTAACAACGCGCAATATGAGCCTACATTCTTTCTATAAAGATCAACAAAATAATAATAATAATAATAATATTATTATTATTATTATTATCGTGACATTTTTGGTGGTGACTAATACTTATTGTGGATGAGTGCAAATGACTTTGACGATCGTGTCCCTCTCAGACTCACAGCTTACCAACACCAATATATTTCCTGGAGATTTTTTTTGTCGCCGCATTTGCTTTAAAATGATTGTAATTACCTACGACGTCCATTCCAGTCAGTCATATTGATTTTTATAGTTGAGATTAGTAATGCTGGTGGTTAGGATTTGAGATTTGTAATTACCTACTGCTCTCATTATTATACGAATATTACATGGAAAGAAAAACATTAAAAGAAAGTATTATTTCGTGTCCGTTGGATTCGGTGGGAACTGTGGCGCCCACGGCAAGCGAAGGCGGAAGGCTCCAAAACGGAAGATGATGCCGCCACGTTCCGTTTCTGGTGGTAAAGCCGTGGAAGAAAGCAGCGAGGCGAAACGAGCGGCTGCCGCCCCACGGTATTAAACGACTTCGCACGAACCGTGCGTTTGTGGGCCTCTCACTCCACGAGACCGCCAACGCGGCCTGATGCCGCCGCCTTCCTCCTCCTCCTCGTTCACCGCGGCGGTGGCGGCTCCCGCACTATGTGCCCGCCGCCAAGCGCGCCGCTTCTTCTCCTCGGACTCTCGGCTCCGTCCACGAACCGATCGACGCCGGGGCCAGTGGCCTCTCGCCCTCGCCTTCACGGCGCAGGGCCCCTGCTGCCTCTACGTGGGCCCCGTCGAGACGGCCAGTAAGGAGATGCTCGAAGCCCTCTATCAGCAGGTGCTATTTCCGTTCCTTCTTAATTTGCTTACAGCCCCTTTTTGTGAGTTGGAGGTAGCACAATTATATCACATCTCCTTGGTTATTGTTCGTGTTCCTAATTTGTTTGTAATTTCTTCACCACACCTTCGACAATTTATCATGGTCTTCTTTTTTTTTGTATTTATTGTTGCTTTCTTTTCATATAATTAAAAGGAACGTCCTTTTTTTTAGTATTAAAATGTTGCTACGGAGGGAATACGGTGTCAATTTTTGGAAGCACTGTTTTACATTGTGAAACCCGTCACGTAAGCAGGTCTTATTCTACTTCAGCTTAAATATATTCTGAGCATCGAGCTAATTAATTTGAATATTATATGTAACTAGATGTATAAGGGATTGTATATTTTATTAAGATTTTAAGTATATCTTTTAGAAGATTTTAGATTGTTATCTTTTATCTTTTACATAAGTTGATTAAATAAAATTTTAGAGATCTCCTGGTTTAAATTGTTATTGATATTTACATGTATAGATCCATTCAAGTCTAAGTGTTTAGGCCTATAGGGCTTAAGTCAAAGAGTAGTTTAAGATCCTGCAACTGTTTTTCATTTTGAGAAGTTCAATATAACTTTTTCTTTTTTACTTCCGTCTTGATTTCTTCTTCTATTTAGTTTGATCTTTGGCTGGTAGTACCTTGTTACTATTATTTGAGAAAGGGTTGCATTTGCATGTGATCTCTCCTTTTCTTCACACAATGTCAGAGCTACAAGAGTGGTAATCTGTATTTCAAAATCTCTTTGGTGAAGAAGATATCATTTTTCGCCTATGGATTACAATAGTCGAGTTTGTGGGTTTGATATTGAACTTTTCAATCAGTCTAACTACAAGATCTAGAAGACTTGTTTGAAGTCCTATCTCACAGGGGTAAAAGATATATGGGATGCGATTGGTGGCAATGTAACAACAGCACCAAATGCTATAGATAGAGACGCCATAAAGAGATGGAGGATATTAAATGCAAAAGCTGAATTTGTGTTGAAGAGATCTATTTCTCATTGTCCCTTTGAACACATTATTGGTTGCAAATCAGCTTTAGAGATTTGGATAATTCTAGATGCATTGCTCAACAAAAAGAATATGGTTTGGCTTTAGTATTTAGAGAATGATTTAACAATCACTATCTAAAATGATATCTCAATTTCTTAATATTTTTTAAAGATTAAAACTTTATGTTCAAAGATATCACTCTTAGATCCGGATGAGCCTATTTATAGTGTACAAATGAAACGTTATCTTATTCATAGTCTTTGAAAAGAATAAATTCTTTATGTTATATCTATTCATGGATGGGCTCAACAACCATCCGTAGTAGAGTTGAAAAATCTTCTTACTTTCTCAAGAATCCTTAGCTTGTCAAATGATGAGAGTTTATACTTCAGGGGGAGATATAGATGTCCTTTTTACAAATAAAAAATAGGTAATGATAAAGATAAAGAGAATAAGGATGATGCTAACGGTAAATCAGAGTCTTCTTCGAACAATAGTGTAAATCGAAAAAAAACCAAGTGTTATAGGTGTGGCAAGTTAGGCCATAACAAGAAAAATTATCATGTTAAGATTAAAAGAGGAAATATTACAAATAAAGAAGATTGTTCTAATACTACTGATGAAGATTGGGGCAAATCTTTTATGGTTGAAACTGTTGAAGCCATGACATTTATCACCTTCGAGCATGATTAGATAGTTGATTCAGGATATGGCCATCATCATGGTCTGCAGTATCGAACTGTACCGCCCGGTACGTGCGGTACGTACCGGTCCGACAGGTTGTCGGTACGTGGACTTCCTGTTACCAGTCCGAGTGCACTGTAGCAGTACACTGTAGCACTGTAGCATAGCTACAGTACTCGGCACACCTGAGTATACCGCTCGGTATACCTTACTGTACTGGTACCAAGCCCAGGTCGAAACACCGGTACGGTACGGTATTGCGAACCTTGGTCATCATCTCACTGGTGATAGTACCAAATTCATCAATCTTCGTCAATGTGAAGGTAATGATGTAATTATCATGGCAGACAACACTGTTCATCAAGTGGAGAAGGAAGGCACCGTCATAATCTCAGATAAATATAATGATCCTATTATATTGAAGAGTGTGTACTATATTTCAGGTATGAAGAAAAATCTTTTTTTTGTTGCAAATTTAGTTGATTCTAGAAATTATGTTCTTTTGAGCCCTAATGAAATCAAGTTTCTTCATAATATAAAAAAATTAAATGCAGATGTAGTATATATTGGTAAAAGGATCAAAGATTTATATATTTTGTCAGCATCTAACTTTTATTTTGATAGGATGAGTGAAAATGATGATGCATCAATCTGGCATGCCAGACATGGTCATATAAATTTTCTTAAATTAAAGATTATAATACAGAAAAATGTAGTTAATAGTCTTTTCAATCTTACTACTTTTAGTAGTAATGAAGTTTCTAAGGTTGTTAATATGACAAAGCACACAAGCAACCTTTTGATATATCACTTTCAAGATTCAAATTTTTCTTAGAGCTTATTCATAACAATTTAATGGGTCCTTTTCTAACTCCATCTTATTCAAGTTCTCGCTATATACTTCTCTTTATTAATGATTTTACGAGGTTCACTTGGGTCTACTTTGTGAAGAAAAAATTAGAAGTTTTTCAAAATTTTAAAAATCTAAGTTAACAATTGAAAGTGTTCTTGAAAGGAAAATTAAAAGGTTACACACCGATAATAGCCAGGAGGTCACTTATAATAGATTTTCTCCTTTTGTAAATAATGACATAAAAGGGAACTCACATGTGTAAATATTCCACAAGAAAATAGTGTGATAGAACGGAAGAGTTAACATCTCATGGAGACTTGTAAGTGTTGGCTTCATGCAAAGAATTTACCCAAGGCCTTCTGGGTCAAAGGTATGACATGCACAATTTATGTTATTAATCGAACTCCTCTTAGTCTAATCAATCTAAAATCTCCGTATGAGCTTATGTTTGAGGAGTAATCAGATGTTAAACATTTCAGAGTATTTGGTTCTTCGTGTTAATGTCCACATACCAGACTTAAAGAGAAGTTTGATGCTATAGCCAAAAAAATGCATCTTTATTGGTTATGATAAAAAGAAGAATGATTGGAAATGCATGGATTCACAAACACATAGGTATGTGGTATCTCGAGATATTATGTTTGATGATGTTTCTTCTTATTATCTTTTACAAGCAGTTTTTTTTTACAATATCAATCACAACAGTGAAAGTGATATATGTTTAAGACTTGTGGTTGAGTTTCCTTTGTCATATAGTATTCCTATGAATTTTGACTCTTCTTCTTCCTTATCTATATCTATTTTTATTATTTCTTCGTCAGCAATGGTAGAGCAAAGTGACAAGGAAAGTAATGATTTTTATGAAGAAGAAATTCCAATGTTGAGAAGATAAAAAAGAATAATTATCAAACTAACACGTTACAAAGATGGAAACAATCTTAGCATATATTACTGTTTCTTTTCTGAATCAATTGATAATCCTAAGCTTACTTGTTTTGATTAAAGCCAAAGGTGTTAAAGAGTTAGAGGATGCCATGAAAGAAGAAATGAAGATTATTCATAAAAATGAAACTTGGGTTCTTATGCTAAAGCTTGTAGATGTAGATCTAATTACTTGCAAATGAGTTTACCAGGTGAAACGTAAGTCAGATGGAAGTATAGATCGCTATAAAGCAAGACTTGTTGCATGGGGGTTTTCTTAAAAATATGAAGAAGATTATAAGAAAACCTTTAGTTCTGTGACATGATGATATCTATCAAAATGGTGATTGCTCTGGCAGCTAATCTTAGATGGAAACTTTGACAACTTGATATGGAAAATGCCTTCTTATATGGTGAAATTGACAAGGATATTTA